CTCTCTCTCTCTATCAACAGCAAATTGGATATGTTTCTACGCACTTCTACGGTACCCTGCGTACACGTTAGTGGGTAACCACGCTCTAACACTTATTTTTCCTCCTCAAGCGATAAGTGTCCGTGTCCAACAGCAACGGAAAAAGATATGCAAATAACCCTTTCCCACTGAGAGGAGCACACATCTACAAAAAATAAACCAGCTCTTCTGTTTTGTGGGTTATTTCTTCTCTTAAATAGTTACGCTTATTTTGGGACACTTTCAAAGTGGAGAGGGATATTTTCGACCTCTGCTTACCTAGAGTCTAGTTAACCGCCTTAAATATGACCTTAATTATCTAACGCAAACATCTCGTAGTTCGATTAAGAAGTTTCACTTCATAAAGATTCTTCGGGAGCGATTCAGTTTCTCTCAAGACGCCTACTTGAAGTGCGGATCAGTATGAAATCCACAATTAAATCAAATTTTATCAGCTTTGGTTCCAAAACTGCAACTCCCATTTCTGAAAGATTACTCGGTTTAAAAGAGTTCCGGAACAAATGTTTTTAACGAAGGGATATTCTGTTGAAATCCAAATTAAAATCTGCGTTTTATTATCTTTAGTCCTTAAACTGCGACGCCTATTTCTGGAAGTATGTCGCCTTAGCCAAAAACCTTGCCAAACAAACCTTTTGACTCGATGGGTATTCTACCGGAATCCGCAATAAAATCTACATTTTTGCAATTTGGAATCAGCAGACTGACTTAAACACTTAAAACGAGTGCTGCACTTTCGATAAACCGAATGTGTCTTAAACGAAATTTTTCGTCAATTTGACTTCGTTCTGAACACGAAAACTAAAAAAAACATTCGACTCGATTGAGCACCCATTGACGCACACAAGCAAGATTCAATAATAAAAATAAATAATTATTGAATCATGCACAATGTTGGGAAACATTTCTCCCTGCCACTAATGTCACTCATACGCCAGCGTCTACACACACAAACGTGTCGCTCTTATCAAGCGTAACATCGCATTGAAATGTGAAATGCACTCATTTCGTTTGAACTACAACGGCGCACTACATACATATGCACCTAACCGTCAACGACAGCAGCAGCAGTAGGTGAGTTGAGACGTGCTGCATTCGTGATGTATTTAAGCGTTAAATCAGACATTTTGACATCTGCATTGTTTGTCATTTTCCTTTTTATTTTTTTAGTTGCTGCTAGCAAAAAGCCCTTACACCAGCAGAATAAGGCGCATAATGCTACAATATTGCTATTGTTGCAGGCTCTTGCCTCGATTCATATAGCAATTAAGGCAGATTTCACTTTTCATATGCGCCTCCTCGTGGCAGCGTAGTCAGCAGACAGCAAGATGAAAGCGAAAATCACGCCACGGATGCGCCAAGGTACACCACGGCCAACAATCAATGAACACTCTTCCTTTCCATTGCCACGGCAACTGATGGTGGTGGCGGCGGCAGAAGATTCGTTGCGCTTCTCTGCATTGGCAACAGCTGCCAATGCATATTTTCCGGCGTTGACTGGCTTTTGACCTCGCCACTCAACTCTCAAGTAGCGCCATAGCGCGGGACACCCTCGCCGCTATGCGGAATTCTCTGGGCAGTGTCATTATTATTTGCGCCTTTTCTCGTTTCACATGCATTGTTGATGACGTTGCGGGTCCCAAGTGCCTATACACACACATACGTACATACTCGTAAAGTCTCGCAGGCTGCTAGGCAGCTTATAATCAGACGCGCCGCCAAGTTTTCAGCAGACGAAAAGCTCCTCGCCGCACTGCAATATTGTATCACGTTCTTGGCGCAATTTTGTGCACTTTCTCCCGATTCTGGATGTTGTCAGCACAAAGCCGTTCGTTCGTATCTTTGTAGACTCAATAGCCACTGCAACCGCGGCCATTGCCGCGCAGCACCAACTCTTGATTTGCCTGCCTTGCGGCGTTTCGCGGCTGTCTGTTGCGCTGCTTTGCTAACCTGCCTGGAATTTACTTACTCATTCACATTAAATACATATTTTACCTCGTTTTGCAAATTTTGCGCGTTTTTTATTTATTCATTCCATTTATTCACAAATTTTATCTTTTTCGGCGCTGCGCATTGGAGGTCAGCAGCGCGCCGCGTTTTTACTGTGGCTGGCTGGTTTTTCGTTTGAGGCTATCATCAATGACAACAGCAGCATCATTAATGCATACCGGCCAGCTAGGTGCACAATAAAAGCAACAAAAATCTTGCTAGTTTTCGCACTCACGTTGCCGTTGCCGCTGACACTGGCTTCAGCCAGGCAACCAACCCAGCCAGCAGGAAGAAATCGAGCCAAGCTAACAGCTAACAGCACCAACTGACGTCGGCTTGTCTGTGGTTAGATTGTTGCTGGCGCTGACTGAATATGTACATATACTCGTACGTACGTACGTATTTCTGTGTGTCACTTTTTCCATCATTTGCATATGCAAATCACTGTAGTCGTACTTAGCTGCTGCATTGTCGTTGTTGTTGTTGTTGTTGTTATTGTTGTGGTGGTTCGCCTGAAACCGTCAGCATTTCTCATCAATTTTTATTGGCATCACTTTTTCTGCTGCATTCTTCACTCTTGCTCTTCGACACGAATTTTCGGCAACAAAAATTGTTTGTCTACTTTCGTTGCGCCAATTTTCAGTTCAGTAAATAGCCTGAATAACGGGGAATAGCTGCAAGCAATAGTTAATATCGTGAAAAAAAACGAAAAATCGACCACCGCACCACCTAGCGGCTAACTTTTTTGTCGAATTATTTCTTTGCTTTTGACACAGCGCCACCTAACGGTTACAAGTCTTAAGCTCGTCGGAAAGTTGATTAAAAATTGATTGCCAGATGTGATTACACACAGGTGAAACTGATAAAAGCGTGTAAAAAGCGCAGAATTTTTCTATTAAAAATTAAGCGAAACGAACATAAAACCTTCCTAAAAAGTGATTTGGTTTTCGGTTCAGGATCAAACTTTTTTGGAAAATTTCTGTCCAGTTAATGGTTCAATATTCTGTTAGACAAAAGCGGTTAAGGGTTTCATTTTAAAAGGTTGTCAACAGAGGGCACCAGTAGTGCCCGGCCGGCAATCTCTCGGGCAAAGCCCTGATTCCGTCTAAAGCCTGGCCGGATTTCCACAACTTAGATTTTCTTGACAGTGCCAAAACAGGTTCTGGCTTGGAAATACCTTCCACAGATAGTCTTTTCCTGCGCTTAATATACTTTTTAACATTGTTCTGTTCTCCTTCTTCTTCTTATTTGGCACTACAACCGTTTATTGCAGAATGAAATACTGGAATCATGTCACCAACTCCAGGTAAGCTGTCCACTCTATGTACACAGCTACATGAGACCAGGTAGGTTAGGTGTGGTTAGTCGGCCAGGTCTGGCCAAGAATTTCACTCGGAGGCCCCATAGATCCGGCTGCACTAGCCATCTCGTCAACCCGTGTAAACAGGAAAGCAAGGGCTGTTGTATGTATCTAAGAGCCGCTTCCCCTGTTCCTGTCTTATATCCCTTTCTTAATTGACCATGTGTTGTCAAAGAGATTGAGAACTGTAGTTTCATTAGAAACTTTCCCCGAAGTTCAGTTAGAATTTCTTTAGCTCTCTTACCTCTGACGAAAAGTGGGTAGGTGCACTGTCTCTATTGTTGTTTATAGTCGTCAATAATTTTCATAAACTTCGAGCTCAATCTTGCAGGGACTGGCTGCCGCATTCTCACATTCGACCTCAACGTATTGTTCTTCGCCTACATTCCCTCAAAGAATGAATTGTTGGAATAGGGTGTGTGGAGACCTCCCGATAACAGTAGTGTGTGCCAAGCGGAGGTGGCCGCGTCTACTTAATCGACGATCATTAAGGTGAGCTTACTGATGTTGCATTTCATAAGCGGGCAACATGTCAACTCAGGGAGTGCAGAGCCGATAATTATTTCTGGCAAGGAATGAATATGAGTAGGGGTCAGAGTTGGGAACCTAACCAGTCACTGTCAGATGGAAATTAATGCGGCAAGGACACAACTTAGTTTCAACTCTTTCTGTGGTAATTGTTTAGAAGAAAATGAGGTGACATAATTAAACTGGTGTTGCTTTTGCTAGGCTAAGATGCGTAAGTACGCCTGAGGAACTTTCACACGTTTGCATATATCAGCCGTTTATGAAATTTTACAACAAGTGTGGAGTATATCGACGGCTGAGTGGAAGATCAACCGTATCTCGGTAGTCAGTTTGAAAACGCCCTATTTCCGAATTTGATTGAGGAACGCCTTATTTTAGAATTCAGTTCAGAAACGCCCTATCTCGGCACATTTTCAATGTATTTTCGTTTGAGATAGGACATTTTTGAACCAACTTCTGAGATAGGATGTTTTCCAACCAAATTCTGAAATAGGGCGTTTTCAAACTGGCTGCCAATATATATATGTATGTAGGTCGATCTTCCACTCAGCCATCGATATGTATTTCAATTCAAACATTTTATTCTTCAACTAAGTCAAAAAAAAAGGCAAAAAGAAAACACATACAGATATGTTTAATGCATTTTCATGCACATCAAAAACTAACAAAAAAAGACAGCCTTTCCACTAGTGTTTGCGGTATAAACTTTTCCCATCACAACACCATTTTCTCACACTCACTTTCAATTCATGATTACATGCCCACTGACCAACACTGATGCATTGTCTTGCAACGTAAAGGCGTTGTAAAAATGACAAATGCGCAAAAAAAATTTAACAATTTGACAATCAAAGCAATAACTTAGAAATAAAATGTTTTCAAAGTATTATATTCGCTAATATTATTCCCACAAATGACATATATGTATATGTATGTACATATGTACATGGCATCAATGACTGATCGGCTTTTAGCTCGATAAGCTCGATTGACAGTTAGATTGATTGAATGTCAATCTGTTTGACTGACTGTATGCCTGGCTGAGCTATGAATGTATTGATTTCTTTTGTTTTGATTTGACACTCACCTGCAGTGAAAGGAAAAACGTAACAGTCAACCAAATCTTTTTGATCCGCATCTTTCGCATAGTGTTGTTGTGCTACTACTGTTCGTTTAATGTGTGTGACGGTTGTTCGAGTTGTTGTAGTTGTAATTGTCGTTTTTTTGCCGCCGATATGGGTAAGCTGCAAGTCGATGTTTGTGTTTTCGATATTCCTTTTGTTGTAGTATTTGTAGCGTGAAAACTGTAAATCATAAATGAAAATAAAAAAGTTTATTAAATTGCAAACAAAAAAAGAAATATGCATGTACATAAATAAACCTACATATCCTTAGCTTAATATCGAAAGGCCCTAACTCATTTTCCGCCTTGTACAAAGGTCGGTAGATTACTCACTAAAGGCCGAATAGAATAATAAAAAACGTCTACAACATCGACTAATTAGTTCCAGTGTTTATTTGAACCCAGGATTTTGAAGAAATTCTCAACTGTTTAGAGGCTGTTTGCAGCACTCAAGAAAAACGAAAAATTCATATAAAATGACGCACAAGAAATGGAAACGAAATTTTCCTCTATCAAAAGTTGTAAATCAGTATGCAGCTCTAAGGGCCGTTAACTTATTTATTTTAGGTAGAGTTAAATCATTAGGTAAACTTAACCACAGAAAATTCCATAAAAATCGAAAAAGAAGATCGGCCTAGTCAATGACATATAACCAGGTATTATGTTCACCCGCAGATTAAGTTTTATGGTTTATTTATTTCAAAATTATGTTTTATTTATTAAAATTAAGCTTTAGATAAAAGCTTTAGATTACGCTTAAAATTAAGCTTAGGATTAAAGTTAAATTTAAGTTCAAGATTAAGATTACGATTGGGATTCAGACTAAGATTGAGATCGATATTGAGTTTAAGATTTAGATAATTGCTCATCATTATGCAGAAAAATACCCGTGGGATCCACACACAATTTTTTATTTATTTATTTTTTTTTTTGATATCAGACAAATTACTATTTTTCTCTTTAAATCGGAAACAATATTAAAATCTATACTTTACTAAAACTCTTTGCTTTGCATTTCAAAATATGAAGACGCTAGGTAAAATCTCTGATAAAAAATAATTATCGATTTTCCCAAAGTTATACAAATTAATCATTCATTGCTTCTCCACTAATTCTTACTGGCAACCTGTATGCAAATATCGCTTCAATTCAAAAGTTATAAAAGCATCAAGAGTGAGGCCTTAGTTGAGTCAGTCACTTTAACAATGCCATTTTAGAAATGTCTGTACAAATAAAGGCTTTCAGTTTCATTTTCCCCGAAAGATTTTTATTATTCTCTATTTCAACCAATTAACACTGCGCATCTTTCACCTCTAAAGCATAATTAAAGGCATAAACTTCTTAAAGAATAAGAATTAATTAACAGCGTATGAGTTCATTGTGAAATTCATTAAGTGAGGCACTTAATTGTCAAATACAAATGTAAATACGATAATGAATGCAGGTTCCCTTTTTTTGGGTATTAATTTTGAAGATCAAAAGGTGAAAGAAAATGAAAAGTTAAAACAAATATTTATACTGGCATAAGAGCAATGATGAAGAAAAGAGCAGGCAAGTAATTGCGGGTAATTAACAAACAAAAAATGAGCTGGCGTTGAACTAATTCTACAAAACACCTTTTGCGCAAGCGCAACTGACACTTAACCCCAACAGGGTGGCAAGGTGGTGGCATTCTTAACTTACAAGTACAAGTAGTCATGTATGTATGTATGTAGGTATATGCATATGTACACTTATATATTTTCTTTGTTAAGTAAATGAAAAGTAAGTAAATAAATGAAAATCATAAAAATACCGCTAGAAAAAGAGAAATTAATGCGGAGACCAATGGGTCTGCTGCAGCACAATTTACATAAGTACGTGTATTGGTGGGAAGTTGCGTACATATGTACATATATGTATGTATATATTTAAGCCAAGCACTTAGTACTCTTTGGCTGCGTTGAACTTAATAAGTTGATAGGAATTCGTTATGGTTAGATGATTAGAGCTAAATGTGCATTTCACTGCTGCTGCTTCCAATGGCAGTGCTTGGCATGTATGTATGTATGTACATGCGTTGAAGCGTGACATTGAGAGGCGGTCAGTAGTTAAAATGAATTATATATATTTACTTAAATGCACCGCTATGCAGTGATAGTCATGCAACTAATTATGTTTATATATATATTTTTGGTGCTTCGTACATTAGGGTGACTCACTGTCTTTTTTTCAGAACGGAAAAATGACGAAAAAGAGGAGACTCGTATTTTTTTTTTGAAATCGGTCATTATCGCATGCCTGCGAAACTCAATTTTGTCCCCTTTCAATAATTATTTTCTTTTTAATATCGCGGTAAATTCATCAAACTAAAATTTAACTTTTACTTAAAATATTAACTGTAGTAGTTAAAACTACCCCTAAATCAGAAAGTCTTAAGGAATTGCGAAGTTAACGCTAGTAATATGCGATAATACTAAGAAAAATAAAAAAGTAAGTTTGAAAAATGTTCATGAAAATAAAATTTCTAATTTCAAACTAAATTTTTACTTAAAAAGCAACAGTATTAAATAAAAATACCCCTAAGGACTTAGTAAATCAGAAAGAAATGAAAACTCTAAGTTCACGCTAGCAATACGCGATAACACTAAGAAAAATAAAAAAAGTTATTTTCTCAGAAAATTTGCGGAACGGAATTCTCCTGTTCCAGTTACTAAATGCTACATAATAAAAACTAGTTGAAACAATTGTTTTCAATTCTCCAAAAATTAAAAAATATTTCACAAGAAAACTTTTAAATTTTATAAAAAAAAATTTCGCAATTAAAAAAAATTGTTTTGTGCTTTAGAAAAATTTTCGGTATACAGTTTTATATACCATTGAATTTTAGTTTTAAATTAAAAATCAACAAAAACTCTTAAACGCTTGCAACTTGCACTTTATTACACCAAATTTTAATGATTAATTAAACTGCATACCCATATTTTTCTAAAAACTAAAAAAATAATTTTTTTTGCTAAAATTTTTTTTATAACAATTGAAATTTGTTTATGAAATTTCTTTCCATTTTGCGGGAAGCCTGTTATTGCTTTTAAGCAGTGTTAATTATGTAACATTTATTAAATTGCTACTTTTTCTGCACTTTGCACTAAAAAATTTAATATATTCAAATAAAAATTCAAAAATAGGGAACTACTTGCAAATTTTATAAGTCTTCATTATAAAAATCAAATCAAACAAGAGTGAAAATGAAGGCTCCAGTAAATTAATTAACAGTAAATGTCAGTTTTGAACCACTGTGCGCTGGGACTTTGAAGGTTTCCTTCCGTATATTTTATATGGGGTAAATATATTATTTCTTAAAAAAATTAAACTATAATGCTTATTTAACTTTAAAATGTTACTAAGATTATCGGTTATGAAATAATGGATAACCGATAATCTTATCTCTTGTAAATATAAAAAATTTGCTTTTATATGTGTTCGTACCCACATCAGGCACGTTATAAATAAATAGTTAGTCAAAATTTATAGTAAAATAAGTTTAATTTTTTTTAAGAATTCTAAAGGGAAATTTTGGTATTCGATCAAAGAACACTTATTTCTAACGATTTTATGGCAGTTCTACGGAAAAGTCCATTTCCCCATGTAAAATATATGTAAAACTTCAAATAAATATTAAACGATTTCGAAATGAAAAATACTGGTCTTTTTATTTTTGATATTCTGCAGATTTCTTGAGGAGGGGGGTGGCACCGGGAAATTTCCAAAAATGTGATTTTCGTATGTATTTTTTTTTTTTGGACCACCCTAATGTATATACTATACACTTAATTGAGACTCAAGCGTGGCAACTGACAGCCGGCAAGTGCAACAAGTTTTCGAAATTTCTTCGGCTCACGAAACAATTACAAATGCGACGAAGTAGCAACAAAAATAAAACTAAAAAAATATCAAAATCATCAACATCCAATTTGTGTATGAAAACATCTTTACGCGTGTTGAATCATTTAATTATGATAACCAAAATGCGCTTAAGTGCAAGGCTGATCCTTAGTTTCATTTTTTCATTTCTTTTTGCTTGCCCATGTCTGTTATCATGTTGTCATTTACTTTTTGGTTTTCTTTTCTTTTTTTTAACCAAGTACATAAATGTTGAATGAATAATTTGAGTGCGTCTGCTTGTGCAATGTGTAAATTGATAGTCTTGATTAGTTTATGTCTTCTTTCCATTAGCACCTCGTAAAAGAAGTGAAACTGCTATCATTTAACCGCAAGTCTCTTTCATTACATTTATTGGTAATTATTTTACAAGTAAGTTAAGTTAGGTTATGGAGACAGTCCCGGAGCACCTCGCTCACTTCGACATTAATTAAATTTTCCTTTTCGGTAACTACAGGTAAACAGTGGGTGCTCAAAAACCGGTTTAACAGGCAGCTGATGCCCACTGCGGCAAGTTTCCCGGAGTGTTGAGAAAGTGCTGAGATGTTAGTCGCTAAGATGTTAGTTCCTAAAGAACAGTCTCCGGTTAGTACTACTGCAAGAATCGAGAACTGGTGCTTAGCCAGCTACAGAAACTCCGCTGGCAACCGGCAGGCAGGACTTTGCAAGATTGCATGTCGGTTTTTTTTCGAACGCTCGCTGAGCCGTCTGTAGGCCAAGGAACTCCCATGTCCTCCCTGTCCGAAGGGATAGCATCGACGGTACTCTGCCTAGGCAGTTCATCGACCCTGCATTTTCTAGTGATTTCACACTGTCCTAGGTCCCAAATCAGCTTGATTTGGAAATATTCTGAGCAATTTCGTATCATGAAAACCCAAACGCCCTTATTGCCGCTGGGCTATGAGAGTAAATATTTATCCTTCTATGCAATTTTTTATGTATTTTCATACGAAAACAAGCAGCAAAGCAAAACATAATATTCGAAAAATGCCAGATCTTTCATTATTTTTTTATTGTGAATTTTTGTTTATGATAGATTTCGGGAGCTGCAATACAATTATGGAAAACGTCGGGCGGGTTGGAAAATTAAAATTGGATTTCGGTAAGGGCGGGATCGGGATTAAATATTTAGTCCCGTGCCCATCTCTGGCTTATTAGACGATCCAGTTACATACATAAAAAGGTTGGGTTTGAAATTAAATATGTAGCAATTAAATTTCATTTTGTCCGGATCAT